ATAATCGTCAAACGATCTGAGCCGCAAAAAACTAAAGATAAAGAAATCTAGCTATTTTATTATATAGATTAGTATATGTATAAATTTTATAGTAATATAGATATATATAAATATCAACTAAGATAATATGTATAATTGATTTAATATAAAAAGAAGATCATAAGACATTGAGGATTTAGTTGGCTTTATAAAAATAATGGAGGACAAAATAAGAAATTCATTTTTTTTTAAATAGCTGACATTATATTAGTATAGGGGTTAATTACAAAATACCCCCTTGAACTTTAGGTCTTATTTCAATCAGATCTCTCTGATTTAAAATTGAACATTTTGTCTCCTTAATGTTTGAATAATTTTTAATTAACTCCTACCGTTAGTTGATCGCTTTTAAAAATGATTTAAATTAATCAAAAACCCACTACTACCCTTGTCTTTGTGTAAAAATCAAAATCAAACGAAAAAATCCAAGTCTGCTGAAAACCCAATTCACTTGAAAAACCCAAATCCCTCCCCCACCTTCCTTCCATTGCAACTGAAACTCACCCCCACCCTTCCTTCCATTGCAACTGAAACTCACCCCCACCCTTCCCACAACTCCCTAATCCCTCTCCCTCCACTTAACCGAAATCCAAATCCCTCCCCCTTAATTGAAACTAAAACCCACCACCCACTCTTCCCTCAACTCCTTATTCCCTCCTTATCCACTAAACCGAAACCCAAATCCCCCCCAGTTGAAACTGAAACCCACTCCTACCTTTCCCGCAACTCAACTCCTTAATCGGACTCCACTGAAACTGAAAACCCACCCCCACTGAAACCCTCCCTTTTTACTGGGGATCCGGTGGTTTATGGCTGGGTGGTTGAGTGGTGGCTATGGTGGTTTGTGTTTGGGTCGCTGGGTGGTTGGGTTGTGACTATAGTGTTTTGTGGTTGCGTTGGTGGCTGCGGTGGTTGTTGGCTAGTTGGTTGGGTGATGGATAGGCTGGTTTGTGGTTGAGTGACTGGTTGGTGGCCACGGTGGTTTTTGGGTTGGTTGATTGTGGTTGTGGTGGTTATGGCTGTGTGGGGGCTACGGTGGTTTGTGGGCTGGTTATAGCTACAATGGTTGGTGGTTATGGCGGGGTGGTTTGGTGGTGGTTGCGGTGGTTGTGGTTGTTGGCTAAGTCATGGTTACGATGGTTTGTAGCTGGTAGCATTGGAGATTTTGGCTCAATTGGGTAAAGCAAAATGAAAGAAAAATGGAGATGAATAAAGGTTGAGGGTACAAAAGTAATTTTAAAGTTTTTGTCTAATTAATCAGTCAATTAGTTAATTTTGGAACTTGAAGGGGGCAAATTGTTCAATTTTAAACCAGAGGGCTCTGATTGAAATAAGACCCAAAGTTCAAGGGGGACATTTTGTAATTAACCCATTAGTATATATATATACGCACCTTGTATGGAAAGTTACTATAAATTATAAACTAGATACAAGTAATTTGGGTCAAGTTATGATCCAAAAGATTAAAAGTGCGTTTGGTAATGTTTTTATTTTTATATTTTTTTTAAAAAAACGATAAAACAAATTTTTATTTTTTCATTGATAAAAATAAAAAAATAAAACATGTTTGGTAGTAATTTAAATTTAAAAAATTGTGAAAACAAAAATAAAAAACATGTTTAATATTATATCAAAAATCCACCACCTAAACCCACCACTAACAACCATTCAACCCCACATCTAACCACTGAAATCCACCACCCCCAAACTCCAGAAATCGACCACCTGAAACCCGTCACCACCACCCCGAAAAACCCACCCCCAAACCACCACCACCACCCACGACCTCCAAACCCCCGAAATCCATCACCCACCACCCCCAAACCACCTGAAACCCATCACCCCCACCCCGAAAACCCTGAAAACCCACGCTGAAATTCCCAACCCCAAACCCCCACTCCCAAACCACCTGAAACCCACCTTTTGTTGCTAAGGAGGCAATGGCTTTTGGATCCTTCGATGGCGATGGCGATGTCTTCGGCTTCGGCTTCGTCTTCGTCTTTGGCATCGAGAGAGAGAGATACGACAGAGACACGACAGAGAGGGTGTGAAAGAGAGAGAGAGATGACCTTTTATACTCAAGCAAAAAAATCCATCTTTTGTTGCCAAGGAGGATTGAAGTCTAGATCTCATTAAATTCCTTTCAAACTCGTGCATTTGTTTTTTGTTTTTTTGATGTTTTCAAAAACATCTTTTTGGATGTTTCCATATTTTAGACTTGTTTTCAAAATAGAGAAATTAAAAAAAAACAAAAAAATGAGGTTACCAAGCACTACCTAAGTTATTCCAAATGAACTCATCTTATTTTAATCTCACTAGATAATAAATTATAACCACAACAAATTGATTGAGTTATAATCTCACACCTTCCAAAACATAACTTTCGGCAGCAATCTTTCCCATCAAGCTCTATGTCGATCTGAATTCATGTTGAATCAGGCTCCATCCTCAACCTTTTAATTTGCCTGTCTTCCAAGTTGCAGCTTGTTTCAACATAATCACTGCCAAGGCTTCTCTTAGTATGCACATAATCAGCTACTGCATGTGTGCCATCATATCCATCGATGCATGGACTATGTTCTTCAAGATTTGGTTTGCACACCAGATATACCACACTTTTTAACCTCCATAGGTGCCTCTATTTGGACATAGACTTCAATTCTTTCTCCACCTTCCATTGGGAAATCCAAAATTCTTTGTGGTACAAAGCTCACCCATGAATGCTCTTCCTTGGTTATTGGAATATCAAAGATTGTCGACGAAAGGATCCATTCACCACCATTGCTTTTATCATAGATATTAGCATAAGGAGTAGTGGTGAAGCCACCTACTTCATCGATTGAGGCATAAATAGCCCAAAGAGTCATCCCTAAGAATTTATGTCCCAAATGTAATGGCATATCAAAACATATTGAAGATCCAATTCTTTGATGGCTAAACCAATCAGGAATCTCCTTACTTGGAAGGAAAACGTTGTAACTATTATGTTCAGACTGTCCCTGATGCATGGAAATAGTGACATGAGAGAGAGAGAGAGAGAGAGCAACCTTAACAACACTATCCATAAATGCATTTGCCAAACTCTTGTAGCTTTCTAGGTGAATCGCTCGCATAGAATCAAGGTTCTCCAGTCCTTGGATCTCAGATAATCTATTGCAAGTTGGAAGACGCAAGAATGCCAATCTTTTGCAGCTTGATAGATTTGGTAGTTTTTCAATTGATGTGCAACCACTGGCATCTAGTCTCTGTAGATTGATAGGAAGCTCTGTGAGTGATTGAAGACTCTTACAATTATCTAAGCTGAGAATTTGTAGCTTGGACAGGTGACAGAGTCTTTGATGGTAGGCTACTAAAGCTATTCCTTTCTAAATCCAATTCTTTTAGTGAGGATAAACTCCCAAGATCAACTGAAATATCTCCTTCACACAAGTTGCAATCACTCAGATCTCACTACAAGAAAATTGGTCTTTTAGTTGCAAAAATTGTTGCGGCTAAATGCATAAAAATTGTCACTATATACTTTAGTGAAAATGTTTTTATTGCCACAGGGTCACGGCAATATGTGTGTGACTAAATCTTTTAACTATTTCATTAATTGTTGCAACTAAAAGTAAATTTTTTAGCCGCAATGTGAAAATTGTCACTAAATATGAAATCTTTAGCCACAATAATTATTGTAGCAAGTTAACATAATTTTGCCACTAAAATGTACCATATCCCCACTAGAAGTCTAATTAAAACATGACTTTTAGTGACAACAATTAATTGTAGCAAAAAATATACATTTTACCCACAATTAAAATTACCACTAAAATTTGGAACATTCTTTTAGTGATAACATATTGTTGCGGTTAATACATTAAAATGAACAGAAAAAAAAACCTATCGCATATTTGAAAGAATTTATTTTTGAATATTTTCCAATTTCACATACCTGTTATAGTTTAATGAATCAATATATATACCTAATGAGGAAACAAACATAATAATCACTCACTTTCAAAGATATAATTCTCAAATCAAATCACGTGAAAATAATATTCTCATATTAGTATCGTTAAATTGTACATGTACAATGCATCATCATCAAAGAAAATGAATGAACAAAAAAGATTATGATTCCTAGCAACTAGACAATGATACACACTCAAAAGAAAGTAATTGCATAACAATCAAGCCTCAACTACATATTCTTTTTTTGGCAAGTTATTGGAGCTTTCGTCTTTAGTCTTTAGAGGGTAGCCTTCCAAAGCTGTTTTCAGAGCTTCTACTGGTTTGTCCCTAACAAAAAATACCAAACATTAATAGGAAGCACAAATAGTATAACATATGAACAATCAACCACAGATCACATAAGAATCACCACAAGAAAATTCACTTTTAGCCGCTAGATTTAGATTGTAGCTAAAAATGTTGTCACTAAATACATATGTTTAGTGACAAAAAAATATTATTGCCATTGCAGGTATGATATTGAAATTATTTAGTGGCCATAGTTATTTGTTGCCACTAAAGATATATATTAATGGTAAAAAAATATTGTTGTTACTAAAGATATGATAGTGAATCTAATTAGTGACAATTTAAATGTTATAGCAAAAATATAATACTAATTCATCACTAATTTCAACTATTTAGTGACAACAATTTAAATTTAATCACTAATAATATAAAATATTAGTGATACCATTTTGTACTTGCAGCAAATATGCCTTGATTTTAGTCACAATTTTTTTTGCCACTATATGTCAATTTTAGAAAATAAGTTGTCGCTGGTAAATGTAAAATAAGCCCAAAAAAAAAAACTAAAATTTCTATTTTTCATATAATACGAACGGTGCTTTTAAAATTTCTATTTTTCATACCTTCTATTTCATATTTTCCCTAAATCATTTTTTGTTCAAGTTCTCTCTGAGTCTCTCTCTCTTTCTCTCGTTCTTGATCCCTGCATCCGTCCGACAATGGATTCTACCAATCTGCCATGGACGATCAATCTACCATTGATGACCTCTCTGCCATGGACAATCTTTTCTAATCCGTTCGCTATGGCAGATCCGCAGGTATTTACCAACATTTATCCTAAGCCATCGACTGCTTCCCAAGTCTTCCGCAACATTTATCCCTCACACGACGGTCAATTCTCCCCAAATCTTCTTCAGAGATCATCTTCTTCAACCTATCTGCAATTAACGTCGCTACCATGGATGACCTCTCTGCCATGGATGATCTATCTTAATCCGTGGCATAAATCTGTAAGTTTAAATGCTAGGCCTCTCTCCAACGGATCTGCAAAGATCGTGTTCTTCAACCTTCAAATGCCATCAACGATCTCTGTTTCTGCGTCTTCTACTGGTATTCACCAGTCACTCAATCTCACGCGTGCACACACACACACAACCATACACTCAATCGCACACACAATCACTCTGTCTTCACACACACACACACACAGATAGTCATACACACAATCAGGTTGTCACAGTGTAGGGCCTTTCATTTGTTGCATCTCGATTAAGTTTTCCAGCCTATTTTGGCATCAATGTTAGTTTTTTCCTTTTTGTTCAACCAAATGGAATTTGGAGAATCCAATGGTAATTCATGGAGAACCATCTCCATGGAGAAAGAAAGTTAAATTTGTGGGTCCAAGGCTGGACTTTGAAGGATCACTTTATGATGACTATGACCTGATTGAGCCCTCGATCAATTTCAATTTGGAGGATAAAGTTACGAGGAGGACAGAAGAGTTGATGCGTGACACATGGAAGAATAGTTGCTCTGTTGAGGCACCACCATGCTACTTTGCTTAAAACCGTGAAGGTATATGGTGAACTTTGTGGTCAAATTTGTCTTGTCGTCTTATGTCACTAAATGGTTAATATTCCAGGCATGCTAACTACATGGCAAAGTTTTATGGTCTATATTAAATTAAAGCTAAAAGCTTGTCTATTAGGATGAGGAATTAACTTGTGGAAAACTGCCATGTTTGGTTATATTTTTAAAAACTGTTTTTTGTTCTCAAAATTTTAAAAATACCTAAAACCTGTTTGTTTAGATTTTTTGTTCTCTAAACTTTTGAAAAAAATGAGATTTAAAACAAAAAAATAGAAAACAAGTCACACTTGTTTTCAGCCTTCCCTTTGAAAACTATGGAAACACGGAGAAGTGGGGAACACCTCTTTAATGAGGTTTCCCTTCGAATTTTCTTAGCAGCAAGACTTCCTCTTTTTTTTTTTGCCTTCCTATCTGCCTCTCGCCACTTCGCCCATCAAACAGACGAAGACACACAGATAGAACACATTAGAGAGGAAGCTCTCTCTGTGTCCACTTCGCCTCTTAGACAAAAGGAGCAGAAAGGAAGATGATAAAAGCTTCAAATCTTCAAATCTTCTCTAGATCTTCGGTGGTGGTTGTGGGTTTTGGGTGGTTGTGGTTTTGGTGGTGGTTATGGGTTTTAGGTGGCTGTGGGTTTCGGAGGTGCTTTGTGAGTTTTGGTGGTGGCTGTGAGTTTCGGTGCTGGTTGTGGTTTCGGTGGTGGTTCTCGATTTCGGTGGTGATTGTGGGTTTTGGGTGGTGGTTGTGAGTTTTAGGTGGTTATGGGTTGGTGGTGGTTTTCGGTTTCGGTGGTGCTCGATTTCGGTGGTGATTGGTTGGTGGTGGTTCTCGGTTTTGGGTGGTTGTGGGTTGGTGGTGGTTGTGGGTCGATGGTGGTGTTGATGCACAGTGAAAAAGAGAGGCAGAGAGTGGTGGTCTTCTCCGACACAGTGAAAGAGAGAGAGACAGAGAGTTGAAGAGAGGTGAGAATTGAGGATTATTGTCCAAACAAATTTTTTAATTTTTGTTCTTTAAAATTATTTTCAAAAATATATAACTAAACAGGTTTTATAATCTAAAAATTTTTAAAAAACTTTCTTAAAACTCTTCCCAAAAATAGTTTTCAGATACTGTTTTTTGAGATGCAAACCAAAAAGCCAATTTTTTTTTTTAAAATGGAGAGAGAATGGAGGAGAAGAGAGAGAGAGAAAAAAGGCTGGGGGAGAAGAAAGAGAATATTTCTAAAAAAAGTGAGAAGAGAGAAAAAAAAGAGTGGGCGAGTGATAGAGAAGAGAAGAAAGAGAAAAATAGCAGAGAGAACTAGAGGGTCGGCTTTGTCTTTCTTTTTATAGGATCTGCTACTCCAACCTTATCTATTTGTCATATATTTGGGTTGATCTTCCCTAACCCTTGCCACTAATTGTTATGGGTAAACTGACTTGATCCGAAATGTGTACACCTAAGTGCAGGCGGTCAAGTTGTAGTAATAATCTGGTTAAGTCCGGAGTCGAATTCACAGGGAACTATGATTAATATTTTGGAGTAGCAGTGACAGAGACCAAATAACTAAAAACTTTGAGAGTTTGAAGTTATGGGATTTCCTGAATAGAATATAATCTATGAAGTCCTCAGAAATTGAGAACACTACACTGTATAGGACTAAGTTTTTTTCGTAATTTCTTGGTCAAACTTTTGATGGTTGAATTATCGGGGCTCATTGGTATTGCAGGTTCTTCTCAATCAAAAAGAGATCAGTGAGGAAGAAATTGACTTCATTCTGAACAATTATCCTCCACATACACCTACAAGTGTTATATTGGAGGAAAGAGATCCAGGGAGCCTTCCATTCTTCAAACAAAACCCGAGTTTAATATTTTAATTTTATGTGTGGTGAGTTAGTGGAAATTATTGTGGTCCTTGGTTAGTTGTTTCTTTTTCTTTTTTTGATTTTTTTATTTCCTCATCTGATTGAATGATTGGGCCATTATTCAGGAACTTAACTACTTATTTGCTATTGAATCCATGCCGACTCTACAAATAGCATGATTGAAAACTATGTATCTGAGTTAATGGGTAAGAAGCTTTATTGAAAACTATGAATCTTATTTGTTTGGTGAAGTTCTTGTTGTACATCTAAATTTCATGAGGCTTTTGCTTGTTTGGCACACTCACCCTGCTTGGAATCTGCCTAGGTCTAGTTAGGGCTGCTTAGGGTCATTGTAGGATTATAGTCTGATCTAGTAGTCAATAGCGGAGTAATACCATACCCATGATATGAATAATCTATGATCCATCTATGTATACTCAAGTGTTATAATTTTGTTTAATTTTTTTTCCTCTAAACATTCAAACCTCTACCCACATATAAAGCACAAACCATTCAACTTATCATTTTTCTCTTTTATGTGTTTTACGGGGAAATTAATTAAGTCTACTGTACAAGGTTTGACGGTGTGCCTTGCAATAGTGCAATTAGGATTTACTTCCAATTTGACTGTGTGTCTTGCAATAGCACACAAAATGTTAAGTGTTTTGATTCTTTGATGTGTATCATTTTAATGATTCTTATTATTTTCCCTGCCTTGTCACTCCAGGCATGTAGCAATCCCAAGCATGACACCGATTGTGGGAGCAAACTTGCTTAAGGGTAACTTTTGTGCCCATTTCCTTTTTCTTTCTTTAAGACCTTTAATATTTTCAAAAATCTATGTAATCATTGAAAAAACAACTTTCATGATAACACTTGTTTTTTTGCTATGTATACATTTTGGAAGTTAATGATTTTGTTTCAGATTAACTTTAAAACGACTGCTTCTTGAGGAAAAAAATTGTCAGTGAGAAATCATTCACGGTATTTTGGAATTAGGTACAATTTCATGATAACACTTAATTTTTTACTATGTATAAATTTTTGGAGAATTTGTCTAAACTGTTTGCTTATGTGTGATCTTTTAGGAACCCTGAGCAGATCCCATGGGGTGAAACTTCTCCTGATGTTGTGGAGTCTTCACTGACAATAACGAAGCTGCAGCCCATTTGAAGCTTTGCTCTGCCCATTTGGAGTCTTCACTGAAACTGAAACTTTGCTGTTGTTTAGGACTTTTAAGTATGCTGCATGTTTTGAACTATCCAACAATGATCACAACTATAGCTTGAAACTTGCTTTTAGTTCATGAATGTAGAAAATGAGCAAAAGAAACAAGGTGAACCAAGCAAAACAGGACATGTGCCATATTTCTGAGACAAAGAGTTTCACTCGAGTAAGTCACGATAGCGTGAGTTGTTTTTTAAATATCTATTGTACTTATGTGATGAACTATACGCATGTATACATGAATATTTATGTAAATTTTTTCTATTAATATTTAATGCATGATAGCGTGATCCCAAAACTGGAGAGGAGCCTAACCGTACAGAACCATGGTTAACAACCAAGTTTAGTATGAAGAGGAATGCTTGGGCTGGCAGGAGATCAGGAGAAGTCTATGTAAGTCCTCTTTGGTTAATCTGTCAAGTAAAGGATCCTTGCTTTATACTGAACCTTTGAGTAAAGGTTGTTGCCCAGTTTTGTTTCGCTTATGTTAGTTACTGGAAACCTGAAATGGGCAGAGATTAGATACAAAGCTTTGATGCATAATTTGCAAAGAGTAGGTACTATTAGATTTTAGAATTTAGTTTAGATAAATTAAGCATGGATTACATACCCATTTGCAACATTTTGCAAATCCCACCCTGATAAATTCCCAGCTTCAGTAAGTGCATTTCTCCATCTCTCCACCTTCTCAATTTCAGCCACAAAGCGTTCTGCGTGCCTCGCAAACGCCTCTGCAAAACTCGCCATTTGCTTACGTACATCAGATGGATCAACATCGTAAAATATAGGGAGAACCAACTGGCCTATTGCTTTTTTGAATTCAAAGATCTCCACAAGCTCATCCAAGCACCATTGAGAGGAAGCTTAGTTCTTTGAGAATACGATAATAGAAATTTTTGACCCTCAAATTGCTTTCAGTAGTTCCAACGAAATTTCTTTTCCTCGTTCTTGTTCGCCATCATCCCTAAAGATGTAAATACCAGCTTGAGCTAAAGCAGTGTATAGGTGATCGGTGAAGTTTTTGTATGTATCTTCACCTCGAAAACTCAGGAAGACATCGTACTTCCATGGAGGTGTTGAAGACGAAGAAGAAAAAGAAGAAGGTTTGTCATGAGTGCTTTTACCAGCCATGGACAAAACTCAAGACTGGATCAGATTGATGAAGAGCCAATTCATCATCTCAATGAACTTGTAGAGCATCCAATCAAAAAAGTCAAGAGATTCCATTTCATCAGCTGGAATTGTAATAGGAATAAGCATGAGTTACTTTTAGTGTCGAGTAAAGAGATGGAATATTTCTTTTAGCATCAAATCAAAAAAGCTTCACATGGAGGGCACTCTTGTCCTGTGCTTCTGTTAGACGCCCTTTGAGGGTTAGATTAATTGTTCCAGCTTCTCACACCAACTGAGATTTGGCCTGTGGATGGTCGTGATGATGGGTAATAACAGAAGATGAGTCTTGAGATCAGTTGATAAGAAAGAGTCTCATGGTTGCAAAACATGGAGGAAGAGTGATTGGACTCAAAAAACAAAGAGAATAATAAAGTCAATGAAGCAGAAGGGAGCCCCGGGGGGGGGGGGGGGGTGTTGGGTTTCCCTCCTTTGTGGGACTCATCAATTTGCTAATTTTTTGGTGGCTTACCCGTGTAGGACTCTTATCCAAGACTTGGTTTGGAGTCTTCTAGTTAAAAAGGAATTTGACAGCCATCAAAGACTATAAGTTTTGTCCTTTTCTTTGGTTCATCTATTCTCTGTTGGTTTGGCAAGAAGACATATTTTTCGGCAGTCTTTGGTTCAACAAAAATTCAGCCTTCTTCTTCTCCTTTTTTGGTGCCAGAAAAATCTGCAAATTTGTTCTTCAAGTGGGTAACATTTCTTCACTTGATATTTGGGTTTCTTGCGGTTTGTTCTTGGAGATTTGGTTCACTTATTTTGTGAGGTATTTTCCTCTTGTGATTTACACCTTGGTGTGTTTGTAAGGCTTATGCCTTTTGGCCACTTTGTAATCTGATTTGGTGATAGTGGAAGAAACTGACCTACCGGTCGTCGTGGATGTACCTCAAGTTATTTGAGGGAACCACGTAAATCTTGTGTGCTTATTTATTTTCTGTTATTTTATTTATATTGTTTCCATTGATTTACACTTGTGGGAAAACCTATTTTCCCAACATCTGGTATCAGAGCAATTGGTTAATTCTGTTCCGATTCGTTATATTTCTGTGTGTGAATTATGGACGGCAACGTTGGACGTATGGTTAGTTTCAATGGCACAAATTGGGTGACTTGGAAAACTAAAATGGAAGATCTTTTATTTTGTAAAGATTTGAATGGACCCATAGAGGGTGATAGTGGCAAACCGGAAGGGATGAAAGATGACGAGTGGAAAAAGCTAGACCGGAAAGTTGTCGGTTTTATTCGGCAATGGATTGATGATATTGTCTTTCATCATGTCTCTACAGAAAAATCTGCACATGGTCTTTGGACCAAATTGGAGAGTTTGTATGATAGAAAGACGACAGTGAATAAAGCCTTTTTATTTCGAAAGCTTGTGAACTCTAAATATAAGGAGGGTACTTCTATTGCAGAGCATTTGAATGAGATTAAGAGCATTGTGAATCAGTTGGCCGCCATGAAAATTACTTTTGATGATGAGTTGCAAGCTTTGTTACTTCTTAGTTCACTTCCCGAAAGCTGGGAAACTTTGGTGGTCACAGTTAGTAACTCCGCACCTGATGGAGTGGTAACAATGAGTCAAGTTACCAGCAGTTTGTTGAATGAAAAAACAAGAAGAAAATCATCAGGTTCTTCTTACTCCGAGGCACTTGTAATGGAAAACCGGGGGAGAGGCAGGAGTAAGAGTAGGGTTCCGCACAACCGTGATAAATCTAGAGGTCGTTCAAGCTCGATGTCAAAAAAGGATGTTGAATGCTATTACTGTCACAAGAAAGGGCACATGAAGCGGGAATGTAGAAAACTCAAGTTCAAGGAGCAGAACAAAGAGAAAAATTCAGAGAAAAAGCAAATTGATACAGCTGTAGTTACCGATGATGAACACATGATTATCCGTGATGATGCTAGCGTTAATTTGATTGGCCAAGAGACGGATTGGGTAATTGATTCTGGAGCTTCATTTCATGTTACTTCGCGGGCTGATTTCTTTACTTCTTACTCACAAGGTGATTTTGGGAATGTCCGTATGGGAAATGAAGATGTGTCAAAAATTGTCGGCATGGGTGACATTTGCTTGGAAACAAATATTGGATGCAAATTGCTGCTTAGAGATGTGAGGCATGTACCAGATATTCGACTCAATTTAATCTCTGCTGGAAAGTTAGATGATGAAGGCTACATCAACAATTTCAGTAATGGAAAATGGAAGCTCTCCAAAGGTTCTCTAGTGGTAGCAAAAGGAAAGAAGACTTGTTCTCTTTACACTATGCAAGCAAAAATCTGCAAGGGTGTTGTGAATACCTTAGAGAATGACTCATCCACTGATTTATGGCATAGAAGGCTTGGACATATGAGTGAAAAAGGATTACAAGTTTTGTCCAAGAAAGAGCTTCTAGTGGGGATAAAAGGTACGCCTTTGAAAACTTGTGTTCATTGTTTCCATGGTAAACAAAACAGAATATCATTCCGTAGAAACATTGCATCTAGAAAATCTCATGTTTTAGATTTGGTACATTCTGATGTATGTGGTCCTTTGAAAGTTAGGACACTTGGTGGTGCTCTATACTTTGTCACTTTTATTGATGATCACTCTAGAAAAGTTTGGGCTTATACACTGAAAACTAAAGATCAAGTTCTAGATGTGTTTAAGATTTTTCAGGCCAAGGTTGAAAGAGAAACAGGTAGACAGTTGAAATGTGTTCGCTCGGATAATGGTGGTGAATATATTGGACCATTTGATCAGTATTGCACAAATCATGGTATCAGGCATGAAAAGACAATTAAAAAGACACCTCAACAGAACGGGGTTGCAGAGAGAATGAATCGCACCATTCTTGAGAGAGTCAGATGTTTGCTCTCACATTCTAAATTGCCAAGATCCTTTTGGGGTGAGGCAATGAGGACCGCAGTTGATCTTATCAATTTGTCTCCTTCAGTTCCGTTGAATGGTGATGTGCCAGAGAAAGTTTGGACAGGGAAGGAAGTCTCCTATGATCACTTGAGGGTATTCGGCTGCAGAGCTTTTGTTTATATTCCAAAAGATGAAAGGTCCAAGCTTGATCCAAAAGCAAAACAATGCATATTTCTTGGCTATGGGCATGAAGAATTTGGATACAGGTTGTATGATACAGTTGACAAGAAAGTTGTCAGAAGCCGAGATGTTGTTTTCTTGGAAGATCAGACTATTGAAGACATCGACAAGCTTGAGTCAGCTGAGTCTAGTACTGATGATCTTGTTGATTTAGATCCTCTCAATCCCTCTGCTGTTCATGATATTGATGAGGAAGTGCAAACACCTCATGATGATGCAGCAGAAGATGATGTTGAGCTAGAGATTGAGGGGGAGCAACCACCCCAAGAGCCACTACCACAGACACCGTTAAGGAGATCTACTAGAGAAAAACAGCCATCCAGAAAATATTCTTCAAATGAGTATGTGATGATATCAGATCAGGGGGAGCCAGGGACTTATCAAGAAGTCTTGAAGCATGAGAACAAAATTGAATGGTTCAAGGCAATGAAAGAGGAAATGAAGTCTTTGCATGAGAATCACACCTATGATTTGGTGAAGCCGCCTAAAGGGAAGAAAATTTTGAAAAATAAATGGGTCTTCAGACGAAAGAATGATGGGAACAGTTCTCAACCGAGATTCAAGGCACGACTTGTCGTGAAAGGTTTTGATCAGAGAAAGGGAGTTGATTTTGATGAGATTTTCTCACCAGTTGTGAAGATGTCCTCCATTCGAACTGTGCTTGGTATAGCTGCGAGTATGAATTTAGAAGTTGAGCAGCTTGATGTGAAGACCGCATTTTTGCATGGTGACTTAGAAGAGGAAATTTATATGGAGCAACCTGAGGGCTTCAAAGATAAGGGTAATGATCAGTTAGTTTGCAAATTGAAGAAGAGCTTGTATGGATTGAAGCAAGCACCGAGGCAGTGGTACAGAAAATTCGATGCTTTCATGAGTGAGAATGGGTATTCAAGAACCACTTCAGACCATTGTGTGTTTGTGAAGAAATATAAAGATGGTAATTTTATTATTCTCTTGCTTTACGTTGATGATATGCTTATTGTGGGCCAAGACACGAGTAAGATTAGCAAGTTGAAGTCAGAGTTGAGTAAGTCCTTTGCCATGAAGGATTTGGGTCCAGCAAAGCAAATTCTTGGGATGAGAATTGTTCGTGACAGATCACATGGGCTGATTTGGTTATCTCAAGAGAATTATATTAAAAAGGTTCTTGAGAGGTTCAATATGGACAAAGCAAAGCCTGTTAATTGTCCACTTGCAGGCCACTTCAAACTAAGCTCAAGTCAGTGTCCTACAAGTGATGAAAAGAAAAATGAGATGCAGAAAATTCCCTATGCTTCGGCAGTTGGTTCTTTGATGTACACCATGGTTTGTACTCGACCGGATATTGCTCACGCAGTTGGGGTTGTCAGTCGATTTTTGTCTAATCCAGGGAAAGAACACTGGACAGCAGTGAAATGGATTATGAGGTATCTTCAGGGCACTTCAAAGATGAGTTTGTGTTTTGGTAAAGGCGAGCCTATTCTTGATGGGTTCACAGATTCTGATA